GGAGGGCTTCTAGTGCCCTGGTTCCACTGGTGGACCTCCTGATTGCATCTGGTATTTTTGGCTGCTGTATGACTGGATGGGCCATTGGCCTGATCCAACATTGGTTTATCTTATGTTCTTAGGAAGAACTGCCTCGGTGCTTAGGGGCAGTAGCTCTTGTTCAGACCCTTCCAGTTTCTGATATTTACCTCATAAGGTGCCTGGAAGAAACTGGTGCCAATTTGTGATCTCCTTCTGGTATCATAAAATGTCCACTATGATGATCTCTTCAAGTGGCCAATCTGTTTCTGCCATGTTCCTTATCAAGTAAGCACCAGGGTCTGAAAGAGGGTGAACAGCATAGTCACTCTCCAACTTGGCAGTTTGGGTGATGCCGCAGCTTCTGTGCAATGATTAAACAGCCAAATTTTGTATTTCTTATAAAGCAAATTGTGGACGTGGGCTCTTGGGCTGTTTGGTAGAGTCAAGACACGTTGACTTAAAAGCTGTCCCGCAAAAGAAAAATCTTTGGTCCTCTGGATGGGACAACCTTCCAACTTTGGCCCATCTCATCCGGCAGTTGGTTCCACAGCTTAGGGGCCACCACAGAAAATGCCTGTGCAGGGTGGGGGTGCAGGCTGGAAAAATGAGGAGGGGAGAGTTATTTTGGTGTGCCGGTGGACTTGGGGAGATATGATTTCTGCTTCTTTCCCTCTCAGATATGGCTTTGTCATTGCGGTTACAACCATTGACAACATTGGTGCGGGTGTGATCCAGCCTGGTCGGGGCTTTGTGCTGTATCCAGTCAAATACAAGGCCATTGTCTTTAGGCCTTTCAAAGGGGAGGTTGTTGATGCGGTTGTCACGCAAGTGAACAAGGTAAGGTGGCGGTAAGAGGGAAATTCGGCAGTGCGTTGCCTTCTAATCCTGTCTGTATATCTAGGTCCCATTCTTATCCTATCCTTCCTCCAAGGGCTGCATATGTGACTTGTCCCTCCTCTGTTTTATCATCACAACAATCCCACATGGTAGGCTAGACTGAGAGAGAAGGACTCGTCCAAAGTCATCCATTGAGCTTCATGGCAGATTTGGGATTTGAACCCATGTCTTCGCAGTCCTACTCTGGCACTTTAATGACACGACAACAATGGCACATCTGTGAGTTTGACTAGAGCACAGTAAGGTACACATATTTAAGAAAAC